ATGCAAGTGACCATAGTGTACTTGTAGTCAACATACAATGCAAGTGACCATAGTGTACTTGTAGTCAACATACAATGCAAGTGACCATAGTATACTAGTACTCTACAGACAATGCAAGTGACCATAGTGTACTTGTAGTGTACAGACAATGCAAGTGACCATAGTGTACTAGTAGTCTACAGACAAAGCAAGTTATCATAGTGTACTAGTACTCTACAGACAATGCAAGTGACCATAGTGTACTAGTAGTCTACAGACAACGCAAGTTACCATAGTGTACTTGTAGTATACAGACAATGCAAGTGACCATAGTGTACTTGTAGTGTACAGACTACACAGACATGTTACCAAAGCTAATAAGGAATGTGTTAAAATAAAACCAATGATTCAGTTTGTTTATGCTTTAGGCCAAATACCCATTTTTGTTTGATGTGTTATTCAATTGCATCTCACTTTTGGGTTTTGAAGAGCACCCTCCTACAGCTTTGTTATCCAACTGTTTGAAGTTTTGAAGAGCACCCTCTTACAGCTTTGTTATCCCACTGTTTGAAGTTTTGAAATGCACCATCCCACAGCTTTGTTATCCCACTGTTTGAAGTTTTGAAGAGCACCCTCCCACAGCTTTGTTATCCCACTGTTTGAAGTTTTGAAATGCACCATCCCACAGCTTTGTTATCCCACTGTTTGAAGTTTGATAGCCATTTGAACATTTTTTTGTTTGGTTATCTCTCCTAAGCAGTGGTATTTGAACTGTTACATGTCATTTAGGGCCAGTTATGGCCACTTCATGCTAATGTGTGGAGGCAACATTCACACATGTAGTTACAGCTATGTCATTGGCAAGATCTTTACTGGATTGTCATGTATCACGTAAAGACCACACTTTGTATTTGTGCCTAAAATTACTACACTCTGGAGTTCATTAATTTCTACTTAATGTACCTTCACAAATAAAACTGTTGTCTTCTACTTCAGGGGGTGGAGTACAAAATAAAAGTTGATGAAGCCATGGAAGAGGCTCTGGAGATTATTTCTACTGGAAGCTGGAAGACAGAAAAACTTGTAAATGAAGATATCGTCCAGAGCCGAGAAGTTTCGAAGTATGGTAAAGTTTTCAAGTTTGTGGTGAGCACTGATTACATTAATTAATAAGTCAGTGACCCAGAATTTATAATAATTTTTTTATACAAGCTTAAAAGCATGATTTTTAAATCAATTTCCTCTTTTTTTTTACTTGACTTGGACAGTGGCATATTTATTTTTTCTCTTCTAAAGCTGATAAGAGTTTTGTACTTCTAAGTGACATTAAAAACCTTGACTATGATGAATTGTTGTAGTAATCAAGTAAGGTAAGACGTTAAGCAGAGCTACATAACAAAGTGGTAAAAGAGAAAAGCAGTAAAGTAAAATTCTCACATTCAATAGCTCTTGATAGCAATTAGCTGAAAACAATTTGTCGTAGACTTGTAACTCTATGAGTCATGTGTAAAACGTTGTTATTACTTCATGTGAGTTATAAGTGATGGAAATGCAAATGTAATACTCAGGGGGAGGGGAGTATTTGAACAAAGTATGTCTAGAACATTAAGTATTTAAATGTAGGGAATCACTAATTTGGGAGGTAGAAGTTAACTGTCAATTGAATGTTTAGCCTAAATAATGTCAAAGCTTCCTTTTGTTTTTATCAACTAATTTATTTCTGCCATTTTCAGTTTCGAGGAATTGCCCTATAAATACGAAGATGTACCTATGTATAGATTATTATTTGGTGATTTTCCATTTGCAAATAAATTAACATTTTATGCTTGCAAGTACAAACAACATAATTAGAAAAGAGAAGTGTAAGTCATGGACAAATAATTTGGTAATTTATATCCAGTTTTTGTTTTGAAGTCATATATTTGACTTTTGATGTGCTGTTTTAGTTTAGTGTTTGTTTCAATATGTAAAATATCAAGTTGTTTTTTTGAACCAGACAAAAGAAATACACATCTACTTATTTTCGTTGCTAGTACCTGCTGATAACAAATTAATCACATTTAATATACATATATTCTTCACAAAGTACCAGCATTTTATTTTAAAAAATTGAAAACTTGTATTGAGGTAGTATATAAAATTAACTGACCTTTAGTACAAAATCAGTAATAAACTGTTTTTTTTTCTTATGGGTAAACATTCTCATGGTTGGGTACCACCAGGTGGAGATAAACTTTGTTCTCATATACAAGTTCAAGCATTATGTGACGTTTCTTCATACTTCATTATTTTAATATTTCCTGATATTTATTGTATGTTGAAGGTCTCTTTCGAGCAACTGGATTTTCTTACTAACATTTTCAATAACTTGATTTTGAACCATTTGTGAAGAGAAGAATTAGATATTAGCCAAGTTACCCTGATCCTGTAACTTTTTACACTAGACTAATTATTTGTGATTTTTATCGTTCAGTTGTAGTTTTTTCACTGTAAGCTACCAGCTTACTCGATGCATTCATAGAAGGGGCAAGTCAAAAGGGCTAAGTTCTCAAAATTGTTATAGCTCTTAATTTGTTGTGTTTTTATTACTAGCTTCAAGCCATTAATTTATAGTGTGGTCACTTTCCTAAGGGAAGTTATTGTTTAGATATGAACTACCCACATATTGATCGTATCTGTGGCATACTCATTTTAATTATGTTGTTTGTAAAAAAAAAAATTCTAATTTCTACAGTTTGTTTCATTAAGATGATTTATGCCAGATCAAAGGCTCACAGTTTAGTATTCCACAAATTTGATTATGAAAGAAAGTTGTTTAGGTAAAGAATTTACATTCATACAGTATAGTCAACTTGATTTAAAATTTTTATGCATACATCTTTTATATCTAAGGCATTTCATAAGATTGTTTATTAGTTTTTTATGTTATTGTTGCAGCATTAAAGTTTCCTTAAAGTAATTTGATGGTCGGAATCTCTGCCATTGAAGGCACTTAGTTAACTAGTCAATGTATGTGTTTATATTCAATTGTCCTAAAGCTGTTTTGATAGACTACAGGTAGACCTCTATAAACTTAACATAACCTAAATTAACATAGTTGATTAGTTGCTGTATTTGTTTATATTAGACCATTCTACATTTTTTTTTGATGGGCTATAGCTAGATCTCTATAAACTAAACATAACCTAGTTGGTTAGTTGCTGTATTTGTTTACATTAGACCATTCTACATTTTTTTTGATGGACTACAGCTAGATCTCTATAAACTAAACACAACCTAAATTAACATAGTTGATTAGTTGCTGTATTTGTTTATACTAGACCATTCTACATCTTTTTTTTGATGGGCTACAGCTAGATCTCTATAAACTTAACATAACCTAAACTAACCTAGTTGACTAGTTGCTGTGGTTGTTTGAATTAGACTATTTTACAGTTGTTTTGATAGACTTGTATAAACCTAAATTAACCTAGTTGACTAGTTGCTGTTGTTGTTTGAATTAGACTATTTTACAGTTGTTTTGATAGACTTTTATAAACCTAAAGTCAGTCTACTATGTTTACTTCAAATAGCTAGACTTTAGAAGTAGTCATTATGTATTATTTTCTTTAAATATATATATATATACTTTAACCATTTATCATCTTTCTTTTACAGGGCAAAGTAAAAATTACAAATTTCCCTTTCACATCCATAAATGATATTTAATTATTTAAAAAGGACATTAACAAACTACCTGCTAGCAACAATGCCTCCAGCTCCATCTGTGGCAACTATGTAAACAATATCTGTATAACTGTCAATTTTTTGAAGAACCTGGAAAAGGATAAGAATCAAATGTTATTATTAGTAACTTATTTCTGTTACTCAAGTTCACCAACTTAATCTATTTCATGACAAAACAGTAAGCTTAAGTAATTGACAAGTAAATAGTCTTGACAAGTACTACATCTGTCAAATTCCAGCCAGCCTAATGAGCCCTGGTATTGTGCCAAAGGCCTCGTGGGCATTGGATACAGCATATATAGTGTGGTTAATATAATATTATTTAGTCTTCTTAACTTTCACAAATAACTTCCAGTAATTTTTTAAAGAGCCTTCCAATCTTATGCCTACCCCTGACTTCATGGTGTAATTTTAAAGATACAAGAAAAACTCTGCACATCTTTCACTAACATACAGACGTTTTACTACCATCCACCAAAATGCCATATAACTTATTATTACACAACCTAAAATTTAATAACAAGTATTAAAACTAGGGCAGCAATGATCAGTAAAAGCCTGAATAATACAATTAAGAAGCTTAAAAGCTTCTTGCAGTGACTTCAAAACTAATCAACTTAACAACTAGTGTCTTTTATAGCATGAAACTATCACTTCAAGTTTGTGTATACAAGTTTCACAATTACACTTTTAGACTAAATATGGAAGTGTTTTTTTTCTCCATTATTAAAAATAATTTTTTTTTACCAACAGGAAAATTACAGTAATTATCACTTAAAGAAAAAAGTTGCCTAATTTAAAAACCTTCATTTGTTTAATTGTGGGGTTCCATTCTGGCACGCTTTCAATATTGTAGAAAAGATCTTGAATCACTTTTTGAGGCAAGGATTATCCTCATTCTTGTCTTTCTCCAGTACAGAGATACAATAAGTGGGAGAAATATGGGATTATTAATACTTTTCAAAAATCTTTGACAATATGAAGACATATATTACTTGTCCAAAATGGGGTCATATCCAATGGACATATATTACTTGTCCAATACGGGGTCATATCCAATAGATGTAGTGCTTTATTGCTGATGAAAATTAATGAAGAAGATCAATAAATAAAGCATTAATGATGTCCAAAGCTTAGAAACCTGCAGCAACTTGAACAATACACCCAACAAAAATTAAACAAATCAGTGCTCACAGACCACTTAAACATTTACTACGATAACAGAGTAGGAATTATTCCAAAACAGTCTTGATATGATTTTTTGAACATTTTATTTTGCAATAATGGATTAAAGGTCTAAAAAATATTATAATGACCCCTTTCACTATCAATTAGTAAGTTCTATTTTCATCTTGGAATATTAATCCAAGTAATTATTGTCATTATAATTTCTAAAAATGCTTTTATGAAAGATAATGCCAAATTTGTTTTTTCAATTGGTCATTTCCATTCCTTCCAAAATATTCTTTACCAAAGATCAACAGCTGTCACCCAAATATAATATTTCATTATGGACAACTTTAGGAGAAAAATAAACTTCTTTGAAACTGATTACTAATATTTCCAAACAATTTTTCAATAGAAGAGAAAAAAAACCATTGGACATGACCCCGTATTGGACAAGTAATATATGTCCATTGGATATGACCCCGTATTGGACAAGTAATATATGTCCATTGGATATGACCCCGTATTGGACAAGTAATATATGTCCATTGGATATGACCTCGTATTGGACAAGTAATATAGATTATAATTGTGAATTTACTACATGCATTTGCATGAAATTTGGCAAGCTTTTAGTAAAATGTACAAAAAAAGACAAGTATTACAAAAGTATTTGTACTCAAGATATATCTGTGAAATGACGATGTCAGTCTGACTCAGACTCTGACGATTCAGAGTGTAAAGTGTTGCTTATGTGAAGAATAAATGTACTTTTATTCATCGTACAGTTTGCATAATCTCCAGAACCTCTGAAATGCATATTTACAGTTTTTTTTCAGAATCTTTGCATACTGTATCTGTTATTTACCCACTTCTACCATGATCACTAAATCAGAAATGTTGGGTAAGATGAATAGATTTGATAAATCTGATATCAAATACATAATACCATGTTGAATAGCATGCTGCAAAAAGTCACGGTGTGCACCTCCACTCATGCACATAGGGTTAAGGCATTTCTTTGATAAATTTCAAATCAAGAAAGTTCAAAATTATTATTCTATTTTTGTTCTGTTATGAAATCTACATCATAGACTCCTGTTTTGGACTTCTGAGGAAACATTGTCTTTACAGACTATTTGATTTTGGTACTGTACAAATTACATGACAGTGCTGTTTTGGTAGTTTGGCATTTTCTGAAGGGGTCATCTCTCTAACAGTGTAAAAAATACCTTTGACGAAAAACAAGTTATGAATATTCTAGAACTGTATTTTAAGATTATTCTGCAGGTGATTAAAGCACTTCATGGAAATGGGTTTATATTTCAATACGATGTCCCTCACTAACATTTATGTAATTCCCTTTTCAACCTGTTCTAATATTAAATCTTGAATGCTGATAAAAACATCTTACTATGGCAACTCAAGATTCAAGAGTAAAAAGTGAAAGAAAACAATTTCATATTTCCTGAAAATATTTTATACTTCTGAAAGATAATTGAAATCAGAAAAAAATTAAAAGCTGTATTCTCCCTCTTCTAATTTTCCATTGCTTTGGAATTCTTTTTCGGTGCACTTTAAAAAAAAATTATAATCATCTAACCAATTTCATGCTCAAGACGAAATCGTCAATACGGTTTTATTCATGATTACTTATTACTGTTTACAGCTAGTAAATCATATGTCCTAAACAAAAATTTTATATGAACAGAAATTAGCAAAATTAATCTTCTTATAGGTGTAATAATTCAATGTTTTCTATCTTTTTCTTGTAGAAATAATATTCCAGTCAGTCTCAAAAATATCAAGGTTATAAGTTCTATGGTGTACAACTTAAGTTATTTCTTATAATTACAACATGCACCTTTGCATAACAGTGGAAGTAGTAATAATATTTATGTAATAACTTCTACATAAGAGTATAGATTTATATAATATACCAAATCATGTATTTACAACTTTATTTTAGTTTTATAACTGCATTACCTGACATGCTTGGCTTGTGGAGGCATGCTAGGGTGTGTTACAGACACCATAGCACTAATAATAGACCCACCTCGATTCTGCAACATCCTAACTATTACAAAATCCCTGTGAAAAAAACACAAATTTAAGCATACATTTAAAGAATCCTACTGAATACTCAGTAAAATTCAAGTATAAGCTATAGGGTATCATATCTTTTTTTAACTTGATTTCTTGAACCTAAGTGTTTTTCAAATAACTTGAGCACTTTTGAAAGATGGATCTTTCTTTTTAGGGGCAAACTGAAAGTGCTTGGGTTATAGAGTATCGTATCTTTGAGACTGTTTTTGTGGTGATATCGAAAGTCTTCTTTTTTGAAGTTTGTACACTTTAAAATTAATTCTTCTTTTTATAATTCTATTTAAAAGTACTAATCTCTTGGTATAATGACATTTATTGGTTTTCATAGTAAATTCTGAAAAGTTTTTTAAAAGTGAAATTTTCTTTCCATATTTCCAACTATCAAAGTGTTGCGGACATACAAGGGATATATATAAATTATATATTGTTTTATAATGTAGCAGCTTTTTTTGAAAATTTATTTCTACCAAGATATCTCTTCTAGTATGTCATACTTAACTTGTTAACTTTGCTGTTTTTGTTTTGGGTAGCTTTGTGAAATAGGTAGTGCTCAGAAGAGAGGAGAAATGTCAATTTTTTATGTATTTCAAATCGTTACTACAGGTAAATGAAATTGATTTTCAATGTGAGAAAACTCCTCCAAAATAACTAATTGTAGTTTATAGACAGATTAAGAGTAACTAAAACGTTTTATTGTGGTAGATATGTTAGTTTAATCCTGAAGTAAATAATTAAAACCTTAAAACAAATATAACATCATCATTATTATTATAGAGGGGAACATGGACCCAGTGTTTATGTATTTAGTCCGGTGGATGGGAGTACGTGTCACCTGCAGTGGTTGGTGAACACAGATCTTAAGGTGATAATCATATTTTACTTTTCTTACTGTAACTATAATTTTCTCCCGTGTCTTCTCATTAAATCACACGGTTTATAATGAGCAAAAATTTACATTTAGAAAAAAAAATCCTCTTTACTGTTCAGATAATAATAACAAAAACTTTTTATTTCAGCCCACTTTTTACCATTATGGCTTTATCAGGGCTAGTAGTACAATAACAGTATTTCTACAACTAGTTCTGAAGAAGCCACAAAAAAGAAAACTTGGCTGGAATAAAAAGTTTTTATTTTGAACACTATTAGCTTGGAGAGTGAAGGTAATTTTCTCTATATTTATTGCCCAAATGTTTAAACCCTCCAGTATGCACTACAAATTCTTAAAAACAACATTATTGTATTATATTGAAATTCGTAGCACAAGTGCATTTAAAACAACTCCGTGTAATTGTCTAATTATGAAACAATAATTGTTTACCTTTATTACTATTCATCTCATTGTGGTCACTTGTAATTATTTCTTAGTTTGGAAATAAACTGTAATTCATAATATTTAATTTTTTAACAAGTTTTAAAAACCTTAGTATTTTTATATTGCACTCCAGTGGCTCGGTGATAAGACTGGGCTCATAATGCTAAAAATAAAGTTTTGATACCCATAGTGGGCACAGCATAAATACCCTGTATATGTAGCTTTGTGCTTAATTATAAACAAATAAATTTTTATAGTTTGTTAGTTATAAATCATATTTATATAAGCTTCTATAATTTTTAGGTGGTTTGCTAACTTACATGATTAAATAATCCTTTTTCTGCTACTATATCTCTTTCTTTCTTTTAGGGTTGGCTTCCCCAGTATTTAATTGACCAGACTATGGCATCTTTAATGTTTAATTATGTTAAGCACTTGCGAGCTTATGTCAGAAATGGAACCAATAACAGTGACGAATAAATGCAACGAACATTTCAGTCTAATAATGAATTCAAAGAACTTCACAGAATTGTGTATTAAATGCTCAGGAAGCATTATACAGAAGATCGAGTGGGAAAAGCATTCATGCAAAGACTTGTTGTAATGAGTCTAAACTTGAAGGAAAACTTGGAAATTCTCCTAATATTTTAAGTTTTTTTTGTTGTTGTTGTTGTTGTTTAATATATGCATTATTATAAGTTTTGGAAGTATCTTTTATAGCCTGACAGCTATAAATTACAAATTAATGTATTTGTATCTCATGATGATCTGACTGGTTACAAATATTTTGTGTGTGTGTGCGTATATATATAAAAGAAAACACTGGAATATCAGATTTCTTTTATAAATTTCTTCTGCCAATTTCCTGAAGCGTGACCTTTGGAGTCACAAGCTTGTAGAAGAACTTAAAAAACTGAGAGAGAATAAGTAAGAAATGTTAGGTAATCAGTAGGGGTTAATTATTCTATTCTGAAAGGTTTTGTTTTATATATATATTAGAATGTATGATATGATTATTTTTCTATGTATTATATTGGCCTCAAAAATTATTTTGAACTTCAATTTCGATTTTTTCAAACCATAAAGACACATTGTTTTTGTTTGACTTTATCACATGTTCTACAATGTTGTAGCTTTTTTTAGTTTTAACACATATCTAAGTACTTAGTGAAAGTGCAATACAATAAATATTTGCAAAGTTTATCAGCGCCCCCTAGATTTTACATGTTTCGTGTCCTTATACGATATAAAGTTATTGCTTACAACTTTACAGTTTAACATTTGGCATCAGTACATATTCGTTTTTAAAATATAAAATGTATTAATTACAATTCTTGTACTACTAGCCCTGATGAAACCGTGAGAAACGCCCGAAATAAAGATTTTTATTATTATATAGACAGCAAAGGTCGTTTTTTTCTAACTTTATTGCCAAAATATTCATTGCAGTAAGTTACAAAATAAACATTCCTCCCCTTGGGGCTGAGAGTGTGTTATTAGAGTAATCGTCAAACCCAGTTATTTGATTAGATTATCCAAAAAGTTGGCGGTGGGTGTTGTTGACTAACTGCTTTTCCTGTAGACACGCTTCTAAGTGGAGGAACGTCTAGCGCAGATAGCCCTCGATTAGCTCCGCGCGAAAATTCAACAAACATATTATTAAAAGTGTAATTATGTAGTTGGCCAGTTTTCCTGACAGGTTGCCCCCATCTGGTCAGCAATTTTAAACTTAGGATGGCTGTGCTGAACCTTGGGTCTCTTACTTAGATCATATATCACATAAGGTATCTTTCAACTCTAAAATACCCAGTACTCATAATTCGATATGTCATTTTATTACTGTTGACTAGGCATATATAAAAAAAACATATGACCATTTTAGCCCGAAGTGCTCAATTTCGAACAACAAGCTTAATTCAAGTTGTTGTTTTTCATTTTTTGTATATATGAAACTCTAATAGAGTAATACGTACATTCCAAAACTACGAGAAGGAAGTGCTACAGTGATTATTAAATGAGTTATTTTCACAGAATGCACATCACTACGAAGATGGTAATACATAATTCAAACACACCTTTAAACTGGAATTCGCGTATGTTTATGTGAATTGAATAACGTGATGGCCTGTTCATAGAAAACACCAGTGGGCGTAGCCACAGTTGGGCGTGGTCAGGCCATGGCCCGCTCAATCAGCACCTAGGCCCACCCAATATGTGACTGCTTGATGGTTCGTATATTTAAATACGTCATACATATCGTTTTTTATTGTTTTTTTTTATCTCTCTGTAACTTGTACGTCTCCATTCCGTCCATTGTAACTCCAGGACCACCCAAAATTTCGTACCTGGCTACGCCACTGCAAATATTTGGTTATCTGATCAACTGATTTTGTTGACATTATTAAGAAAGGCAGCTTCAGGTAATACCAAACATATGATTATTTTAGAATGTAGGTTTTCGATTTGCATATTCATGTCAAAGATAAATTAGTTTAATCATCTGGAATATCTGAAGCATTTGTTTTTTTGTGGTAGATTTCCATAAAATGTCGTATTTATCGGTGTCAATTTTTTCTTCTATCAAGTTAAATGTAATCTTATGTTTTTTCTACTTTTACTTACATAGCTCATAAATATATTCAGGTTAGTGATCTCTGTGTCCTTTAACCTTGATTTAATTATTCAGTATGAAGAAATAATATATTTAGTGGAGAGAAATGAGGAGTTGCGTCTTTTTTATTTTATATTTCACTGTCGACTTGACAAGTACTTTAAATACCATTTTCTCAACGTTAAACTTGTCATTGTAGAGAATGAGGCGTAATCAGACAGCAAGTGTTTTATTTCACTTGCTTTCTTAATTTTATTCGAGTTTTACTTTTACATTTTAATTTTGGCGGTGTTAACAACACACCATGTGGTTCGTTTCATGTAGATGGCGGGACGGTGTGTCATTGGACTTGTAGGCCTACTGACTTAACATGTTCTAGAAACTAACACCTACTGGCCAACTTCTTCATATTTATGTATCTATCATCAGTATGTTATCTGCCTTGTACAACAACTTGTCATGCTGATACCAACAGTCTAGCCCAGGAAGAAATTAAAATGTCGGTCAAGCTCTTAAAGTAAAAAAGAGATAAAAATGGGAACATTCATACAGTAAGAGGTTTGAGGAACCTTGCAATCGAAGACATACTCAAGAACCTTGAAAGTTTCATGGTGATCAGAGATCGGAAAGTTTGAAAACTTTCGTTAGGGGGACAAACTCAAGTCCCTTTGTAATTTATATATATATTCTTAAGTAGTTTTTTTTTAAGAGATGGTACTGCAGCTTTCTGACAGCTTTAAGGCTATTTATCACGTAGGTAATCATAGTTAGAAATCACTCGGATTATGTTTAGGGTCAGTGAAAATTATAAAGTATGATTGAAATAATTGTATTTCATTATTTATTATATCGAGAAAAAAAATGCTGTTGACATTTATGGGATCGTTTTTATAACAACGTAACACAATATTAATATAACTGATACATTTCTGTCCGATATTTTTATTACTATAAATGGTTACATTCGTCATCGTAAAGGTCCAGAGCCGTATCCAGTTATTTTTGCTCCCTGGGCAAGTTTCACGAACTGCCCTCCTCTTTTCTCCGTGACCAATGAATGCTGATCGGGCGATCTGTCCGAGGAGGTTCCATATAATGTACACAGCGTGGTCACAAGTAAATAGACACCACCTTTTCAGAAAAAATGAAAATTTTCAGTCATATTCACACGAATTCATATATTTATAATTTAATTAATATCTAGTAGATCTTCCTTTCGCTTCGTGGAGTTCGTTGATCCTTTGGGGCATCGTGAGAATCATCTTGTCAATTTTAGATTGTGGGATTTTTGTTCACTCTTGCTTCAAAACTTGGAGTAGATCGCTCTTCGAAGTTAGTTTTTTTGGTTGTTTCTTGACTTGCCGGTCGAGTATCGCCCAGAGGTTTTCGATGGAGTTCATGTCAGGAGATTGACTCGGCCAGGGCAACTTCTGGATACCATTTTCTTCCTGCCACTTTTGGGTGTTTCTAGCAGTGTGACACGGTGCTCCATCTTCCTGGAACAACTTTGTGTTCTTGTCCACGAAACCAGAAGAATAAAGTGGCAAGAGTCCTTCCTCCAATATTTCGCAAAATTTATGTTGCCAACGCACTCCGCTAAGCTCGATCTCCCACCAACGCTAAAACCACCATGCTTCACAGTTGGCTGCGATCTGTTGAGCCAAAACTCTTGGTGAAACATTCTCCAGACCCATATCCTTCCACTGTTCGAAAATTGAGCGAATCTTGATTCGTCTGAGGACAATACGGTCTTCCAAAAGTCCAGAGGCTTGGTCATCATATCACTTGCCCACTTCTTTCGTCTGACTATGTTGGCAGGTCTTAATAAGGGCTTCCATCTAGCTGCTCTGCAACGATAACCCAATCTGTGTAGAATCCGTTGCCAACTTTGGCCACTTCTGCAGTCGTTAATCTGGGATCCATTTCAATGCTCCTCTTGACAGCCCGAAAGCAGGATTCTCAAATTCTG